TTTGCTGATATCCAGTCCTAAGGTCAGAGTCGGGAATGAATATGTGTCTCCTGCAAGAGTGCTATGCAGTATTCCTTGTTGCTTTAATAATTGTTTGATGCATAAACTAGTATTGTGTGACCCTTATGATAAGTTGTTTGATTGCTATTACATATGTCAATATTGTGGTTGTGAACACACTGATAAACGTAGGATTTTATTCATGTTATAAACACACGTGCAGAATACTAATACAGTCTTGACAATTTTTTGTGACACCTGAATACCTATATAAAACTACCAGCTCTTAAACATTAAACAGCATATTTTAAGAACATAAATAGATAATCATCATACAACCCGTACAAAATACTGTAGTATGCATGCAGACTATTAGCCAGAAGCACTCAGGGATTTTGCCTAGCTTTCTTCTTCCGGCGAGTTGCGTCACCCTCATTACCTAATTCCTCCGTGTGCCTCGCCTGCTTCCTTTTTCTGGATTGTTCCTTCCGGCTCGAAGAGGATTCGGACTGGTGTTTCTGTGTATGGTGCTTACGTGAGGTACCTGGCTCAGCACTCTCCTCATCCTCAGATATATGGAACACGTCCGAAAACCCATCCCCTTTGGTCTGCATTGCATGCAGAATGCACTCGAGAACGCCCGAATACTCCCCGACGTATGAATGGACTGCAACCGCTGCCTTCTGCAGCCACTCTGAATCGTTGTTAAAATGAGCCGCATTGTTGCCGGCTACTCGGATGGCGTTCCTATGAACTACAAACAATTCGTCAACCACCTTGGGATCAAGAAGCATACTCCTTCCACGTTCCAGGTAGTACCTCTGGCGGGATTTTGTTGTTATCTCCTCCCTAAGTTGAGCTTGGATTACTGCTGCTTGCTGTATGTGCTCTGTACGGACAGCAATACGGTTTTCGTGATCTTTCATGTCCATGCTATGCTTCTTTGCCGCAGAGACCGAAGTCTGTATAAAGCAGTATGAATGTTAGGTTAAAAAGCACAAAAGGAAAGAAAGTGGAGCTGTAATCACCTCTGTGTTAGGTGAGGAAGACGCGGAAAGACGACCCAACTCATTCTGGAGGGCCGTTATAAAAGCTTTGGCATTCTGTATCACTTCTTTGTACCCTTCCTCACCCGTTATGGAGTTGTCCAGCTGCGCCTGCGAAAATATGATTTGGTTGTTGAGAGCCTCAACTTTCGAAGTAAGCTTCACTCTAAGTTCATTTAGGCCGTTCGACGTCGGGGATCCATATCTACGCTTCACGTAGCCTAAGAATCCTTTGGACGAAAGTGTGCCTTGATTACCCAGCATTTTGGCTAGGCGTGCCTTAATCATCACTTCGGGTTCAGCGGATGAAGTGTCCATAAGTTCCAGCTGGCATACTGCGTCAAAGAGACCACGAAGAGACCTGTCTAGGAGTGTACGAAGAGCTATGTTGTTCTGTGCAGTAAGGGCCTGATACAATACAGCAAATTTATGAGCAGAAAGTAGGCGGGTTGATTAGCAACTCACCTTCCCCAGTTGAATCGCCTCCAGGTCCAACAGTCGTCCATGCGTATCGTCCATTTGCCTGTCACGTTCTACAGTATTCTTGATCATCTCCGCCTGATTTATAGCCAGTGCCAATATAACCTTGTATTGTACTGTGAGCCGAGTGCGCGTTGTTACTGGATCACCAGAGACATCTCTCGTTAAAACTTCCGACAAAGACCTGCGCAACCGCCGCTTCATATTTCTTGCATATGTTGCTGTAATGAGTTGCAGCATAAATCAGTAAACCAAAATACTAATGAAAAGTAACATACGATCAGAGTCGTCAGGTTTGATAAGGTGATTAATGCGTCTTAGATATTCCATGACCTTTTTTGACGCCCCTTCGGGTAAGAACTCGGAACTCAGTTTAACTGTAGCCTAGCAGGAATTTTTACTTACGAGTTTCCTCGCCTTCATCATCTAATCCGTCATCAGTACCACTGTCATAAACAACTACACTGCTGAAGGTAGTTCCGCTGCTGTCGGTTCCACTCCCGCTAGACTCGCTCCCCTCCTCATCACTACTATCCTCGCCACTGCCTGTCACGTCAGTATCGCCATGATCGAATTCTCTGGTACTGAGCCGAGCCACGACCAAACTCCTGCCTTCGTCTCCTTTAACCAGCTTAGGATTGTCTGTGTGGGCCTTTGGTTGTTCGCTCATAGGATGCAAGTGTGAGTAAGTTGGGTGCAAGCAGATCAGACCAAACTAGGAGACTCACAACCGCGGCTGTATGAGTAAGCGGTCCGTTTGATGCGGAGCTGGCCGTGTTAGAAGCATTTTCTTTCCTCAGGTAGTGTTGTACCAGAGAACTCTTCGTCTCAGCTCGTAACCTTTCGTGCCCAGTCACATTCACCTGTAAACACATATGTACATGTCATATCCTAATCAGTAATGCTTATAAATAGTGTCAGTTTGAGCTAGCTAAGAGCCTCTCTACTCCCACTTTTGATCCGCTTCGCAACTTGAATCAAATTTGATATTCTAGATAATACTCGAAATGCATACATTTTGGAATCTCTATTGTTAGAACCCATCAACACGGCCTCTGAGAAATGCTAAGGCTTCAAACCACACTGTTACTGTATAGTTTTCCCTAGCTTCCACATGCAATGCTGAAATACGCGTCTTAAGCTCTGTAACCAACTCAGCATCTAGAGTTTGATTAGGAGGCTCTAGCGAAACACCACTGTCTGTTCTCCAAGCCTGACTACCTTCACCATGCACACTACAAAGCCTTCCATCTGTAGTGTATGTGTTGATCCCTTCATCTAAAAGTGTAAATTTGTCAGTAACTGTAAACTTAGTGTACTTGTACTAGTCCTACCTTGC